CCCCCATGCTACCCACTAATAAGTGAACTGAGCCTGGAGGCATATATGGTTGTCTCGATTTACTTTCTTAAACCCTATTTCTTAAAACCGCTTTGAGGATGGTGACTTTCATGTCCTTTATTTATGTACAAGCGCATATGGATGCTGATTATGAGAACCTGCTCCTTTGAAGACATTATTGGCAAAAGTTTAAAATTATCATTTTAACTCTGATCAAAATACAAATCAAGCGAGGAAAGTTTTGCCATATTGACTGCAAACATAATATGTAATTATCTTATTTTTTATCCATTGCAGTTTAACGTTGATTTAAACAAAATTAAACTTATCGATTTACCGCGGGTTAATTACATTTTCACACACTGTCACGCTAACATTGCATAAAATTTTTAGGGGATTCTTCAGCATCGTCAGCTAATCGGTACCAACGAATGCAAGTTCATCTAAAAAATATATTTTCATGAGAGAGCATTGCATTAAAAAGTGATCAATAATAAAATTTATTGATGTACACTTGTTGGCCTTGACTCCACATACCCATCTCGATTAACGAATGAAACCACCGTTGTAGTAGTGTTGTTGCCAATGATCGGTGTGCTTCGTCTTTCGTCAGGCCACTGCACTGCCAACGAGGTACCGGGTAAGAACTCTCGTGTACGTCGAGGATCTAGCATCGCCTGCAGCCTAGATGGATACCTATGCTCACGAGATCTGAGCGGATAGCATTGGCGCACTACATTGAGCATAGTCTTCCTCATCTCTGGATTCCGGCAGCCATACAGGATTGGATTTAGAGCCGAGTTTATGTAATGCAAGGCCTTGACGAAGGCTATAAGTCGGAAGAGTCCAGGTGGTTCGGGTAAGCGTTCCAAATCGTATGTAGCAACCACAGTGACGACAAAAAATGGGAACCACGCGATCATAAATACTCCAGTAACAAGCGCCACTGTTCCCGCAACACGAATTTCTCTGTGTATTGTGGGGGCTGCTCTTGCGGCGTGTACCCTGGACCTCGAGTCCCTTGCTGTCTCATAGATTAAGAAATAAACTACAGACATGACGATTAATGGTCCAATGAAGCAAGTAGAGAAGATAAATGCCGTGTAGCCCCCTTCCCAATGCTTCAATTGGACCGGGTACAATCCAGCCATGACCGCAGAACAACCCCACGCGGCAAGAATCATCGCATGAAAGATCCCTTCGCGAAGGGCTCGGTGTCTGATCGGCCAGACGATGGCGATGCATCTCTCTATACTGATGGCAGTAAGTTGAAAGATCGACGCACATCCGATGAACACGTCGAATGTGATGTACATTTCGTATCCAACGGGATGTAGTGTAACGTCCAAGTAATGGCAGCTGTAGACATACAACCAAAAGGGGATTGAGACGAACCCAACCAATAGATCCGACACAGCTAGACCAATTATGAAAGTGTTTGTGGTAGTTTGAAGTCTCCAGTTCCTCTCGTAGGCTAAAATTACTAGCACGTTTCCCACAAGGATTGCGAGGAACACGCAGCAGTAAAACAGTACACTTACGACAAACTCAGCAGTCGTAATAAACTTGCCATTTTCAGAAAACCACGCGGAAGTCGGACTGGCTAGTTCTGGAAGTGCGACAGTTGAAATATTTGCCAGAGAACCCAGGTGTAAAGTTGTATTCATGGTTATCCAGCTTTGCGGTATTTCCTCGATCTTGCTCACCTACGTATGAACGTTAGTGGAACACTGTTTCCATGAAAATAGAGATACTTCAAAGATCATATTGGAGCTCTTCGTAAATTGAGTGGTATGGAATGTGCAATGAAAGTGATTAGATCCTTTTACATACAGATCGTTTGCAGGGTTTCTGCGCAGTCTTGACTTAGTTTTTTCCTACTACATTAATTACAACGCAGCTAACAAAACAACCCACTTCACATCTTCACATCGCTGCGTCTTGAGTGGAGCATTATGACAGTCATTTGTCAAATTCTAAGACTCGCTTGAGTAACTGATGGCAATCGTATAGGGTCTGACAAAGAGTTCAACTTGAACCAAAGACTGAGCTTTTCAATCATTCAATTCTTAACATTCTTTTGGACCGTGGCTCTAGCGTTCTTTCAACACACGCAAACTAGAATCACTTCCTTGCAGTACCTTCAAATATCTCGTCAAATGAATAGTGGTAGTCACGCCAGCGGTACTCCGTTCATCAGATTCTTTTCCCAGCAGGTGAATATGTACCGACAGATATCTTTATTGCATGTAAGTTATTTGTAGACGTCATTTATACGCTTTTGTCTTGCCCATCATCTCAAACAATAAACCCACAGAGAGTTGCATTCAAGCATAAAAGTCGTAAATCAATGGCAAGCCAGATATTCGCTTGGGGTCAGTTATTTCACGAAGCCCTTTGTTTTCTTTGGAATTTATGATTGATTTCAGCTCAAGTTGTGGTTAAAAACATCCATGAAAGTCACGAAAAGATATTGAATCTAATTTTTGACCTTAGAAAAGTTATTCTTAATTTGAAACAGTTCTTTTTGCTTGAGGTTTAAGGAAGCTCCTCAAAAGCGATTGGACACCAACACCATATGAGACTACACGAGGAGCGCACTCGTTATTTTTTAATTATACAGGACGGAGAAATTAAGCTTTGACGCATGCGTTGAGCCTCCTTTAAAAACCTTCACATGTTAACCTCAGTAACTGCCTTTACTAGCGTGAAAAAATAATGAAATATTACAGAAAAATAACAGCAAAACACTGGAAAGAATTTTCATTGGCTTCGCTCTCTTAATGTGATCCAAATAATCCAATTAGACCGCAGACTCAGAAGGTGAATTCAAAACGTTGGCCTCTGAAATACATTTCTTAAAAATTCGAAGTTGCGTTTTTAGAGAAAGACGAGGTACCCTAAACTTCCCTGTAACTGCGCCTCTCTTTACCAAGGAGTATAAATGAGTACAGCCGGCGAGGCGGGAAGCCTGAAAAACATAAGGGGAAAACCTGCTATGGACAAGCATTCTGGCATCTTTCCCTGGGAGATTGCGAGAGAAGTAATACCTTATGCCTTTATGCTTCGGAGTCTGGAATAAGTCCTAGTGCCTTATGGGCCACTTGGCTCGAGTTTAGACTTAATCTTGCCTTCTGCTTTGATGAAAGAAGGGAATTGTGGGAAGCAACAAAAAATTTAAAAATTCATACTGCAGTGTAATTGGTTTATGATAAATACCACGTTTTAATCTAAGTCACCCCTCACTTGAAGTTAATGAACCCTTTCACTCCAAGATCTCATTAGTAATTCTCCCTACTGTCGGCTGCACAATTCTTATAATGTTAGTTTGGAGAATTTGGTATTAAATCAACTAATAACTCCCTGTTGATATTTCTCTGAATTCTTATCACTTTTTGTATTGATATTGTATGGAGAAATTCTGTCTTGGTCACACATGGGAAATAAAGGGTTTAACTAAAATGTTTGTCTTTTCATGTCTTTTACCCTTTAACTCTCAAGATCTGATTGTTAATTCTCTCCCCCAGCTTTTATACGATTCCTTGTAAATACGTTAGGAGAATTTGGTGCCAGATAAAGATGACAACTTCTAACTGATAAGTTTGGTATTCTCATTTGCCCTTTGCTGCATAATGTAAGGCTATTATAGGGAGAAGTATCGTGTTAAAGGGTTAATGAATGAATTTAGTTCCGTACAATTTAAACTCAAAAAAACGGTAGACATTTTAATTACCTATATTTCTAGCAAGAGTATTTAAACTTTGACGAGTCGCATGACCTTGACATTACCAAAGAATATTCTACATTCTGACTGTTCCGGCCTTATCGGCAAAACAATAACAAACAAATACGCAAAAGACCAAAACTAAAAATATGTAAACACATTTCTAAAATCTGTCCTAAATATCCGGCTGTGCAGTTTATACCAGCCAATTACTGAACATGTTGAGATGTTGGCGGCTTCAAGCACAAATTCATAGCTTGAGTAGCTGACGGTATCAGTAAAGTTTCCAGCTGCGGAGATGCAAAAAATAAGCCGTAAAGCTTTCGGTAAAGTGGTTCTTCTACCTGTTTTCGCTGATTCGTTGCTTTCACTATGACGTCCCCAAATGAATGAAACTTCACAAATACCGAGGGTAGTTCATTGATCACAATTTGGACGCTACACGTACCTACAAGTTTACTCAGTTAAGAATTGAAGCGAATCTGTTGCTATAGCCTTTTTACTTGTTGTGCGTAACGGAGATGATTATTAACACCCCACTGGTTTATTTTATTCTTAGGAAATAATTAAATATTTCGTAACAACGACTAAGAGAAAATACATAAAATCAAAACTGTCCTGAAAGAAAATTTGCGTCTGCTTCGCAGTAGACCGTCCATATTTTGCACAGCAAGTGAATCGCGGCCTTATCAACATCACCGGTAAACAAAAAGCCGGTCTTTAACAACAACTTAATTGCGTCAAATACTCAGCGGTTTACAGCCCTCAGGGTGAAAATATTTTTAACAGTCATAAACATTCTTCTCATCGAAGTTTCGAGGCGTTTGATTACAAAAAAGTCTCGGAAGGAAACCAGCTCCGATCGTCACATTACGTACGTAATTGGCTAATTTAGGCGCTTGGTTTTCATGAGCAACTAGATTGAAACTTTTCTGCTGAGTCCGCTGCCAGTTTGCTGTTTAACATGGTCACTTGTTTGAAATTATTAGCTGTGAGTCTTTGATTCTGACTTGGACGAAAAGGTGAGTGATTTTTTGCTCTGGTTTCGGTGCGTTGAGGAAACGGTGCAAGCGTTATTACGCTAAACGCGAGTGAATGCTGACAAAACTTACATGCTATAAGATATATTGTGATGCAAATCCCAAACTTCAGCCATAATCGCGTGAAATCGACCCAGGTCTTAACATCATGTTGAGAAAACCATCTCTTTTTCTGTCAAACGAATTAGAAATCAGAAATAACTTTTGTCATAGAAAGAAATTATTCTAACATTAAAGGTTTCAGTAGCATGATTTTAGCCTTTGTTGCGTGTCTTCTCTACACAGTTCGGGTGCTGTTTCCAAGCTCTGATATGCAGAAACATATTAGGCAACCAAATGTGGAGTAGAATTGTTCAAATAGAGCACGTCTGTTCAATTTTTAATCCTCAAATTGTGCAATAAATGGTCTTACATCTTCCAATCTTCAAACTAAAATATATGACTTTAAAAGGGCAAAGTATATTCCAGAAAACCGCTAGCTTATTTACGTAGTTTTTCCTTTTTAAAATTCAAAGAGCAGTGAACCATATGCGGTTTATTGTGATAGTGAAAATCAACTTGCACGTATGTTAAATTTTTTTTTTACAAATCAAGAGTGCCTAAAAAACTGAACTCAAGTTTTATATTTCAGTCAAAGGCGACTAAAATAGGAACAAGCCTTGTTATAATTAAACCGTATTTCATGATGAAAACAAAACAATGACAAGAATTCAGAAGATTTATTGAAGCACAACCAAACATTCTTTCGCAAAATGAATTAGTAATCACGACAATAAAGTGTTATTTAGTGCACTTGAAACAGTTCCTAAAAAATTCCAAGCCACACACTCTTGAGAAATAGTATCAAAGAAGAGTTTGACCTAAATGCCCTGGCCCAGTTGCTCAAAGGGCGGACAACGCTATCCATCTGATAAATCGCTATACAGCGGACAAGTGTTAACAAAACATATTGTGCTATGCAACGGATAGAGATTTATCCAGTAGATAGCGTTATTAAGAGACAAGACAATTTTCAAGTAACTTCCGATTCAAAATTTGCGTGCACATTTTAAAAGTTTATTGACAAAAAATTTCAGCGTAAATCGAAATAATTACGCGACAATTAGATTATGAAATCGAAATTGCAATCGCTTGATAGATGATTAGAACGAATCCCGAATCAATTATCAAGCATAAAAATCAAAAGCAAATGATCTAATTCTTTTAGCAATTGTCTATACCGGTCGTTCAAAACTTGACTACAAGATATGCTTATGCATATTTCATATTTCATTTTGCTTCAAACTGCTACATCCTAAGGCTACATACCTTACTCCTCAGCAATCTATCACAGAATAGCTAGCGACTAAGATACCCGATCAGATTTCAGCGTCTATGATAGATTGTGCTATTTTTATGAGGGCATATTCAAGATCATGTGTCCGGAGATAAGTCCCAAAGGATTTTTTTAAAGGTTTTGCACTAGACCTCATTTCGAAAGTGAGGGTGTTTAGAACCCCGAAAGTGTTTGACCGAAACTCGGTTCGTTCTTGTTTCTTCCCGCTTCATTCCCGGCGTAATATCTTGCTCTAGACTCATCAATATGATCTACTGACTATACCGTCATCAGCCGCAAAGAGCCACAGTACAGCGACTGAGCTCCTAAATTACTTGTCATTTCTCCCCTCGAGCCGCTACACATTCCCTTGTGAATCAGTTAAGAGAATTTGGTGTTAGATCAAGACGACAACTTCTACCTGATAAGTTTGAATATTCTCATTACCTGTTTGCTGCATGTAGTATGGTTATCATACGGAGAAGTTACAAGTTAATCACTTCCGGAAGATAGAGGGATAAACAAATGTTGGCGTGAGCAATGATAAATGATCGGGAAATTACTATCGCAATGATGACTGGATGGGGCAGAGTCCTGCATCATCATCGTTATTATCATCATCGTTATTATTATTATTATTATTATTATTATTATAATTATTATCGAAAATCATCGAAAAAATGATCAATTTTGGATCATTAAACCAATGGACTGTTTCAAACGCTGGGTGTAAGTTTTATTAAGTCTATAAATTCTTTAGCTCTCTGCGATGTCTATTATAAGGGATATGGTGGAAACGACTTCTTCAGTGACGAAATTAACCTTAATAGAAAACCTGAAGTGTTGCGACGCAACAATCAACGAACGTGTCTCTTAACGTGTCACTGTGATGCATGGCTACAAAGTATGAGGAACTTTTCACCAAGTTGCTAGAATGCTATTGCATTCAACTCGAAAAGAACATAGAACTTTCCAGACACTCACTGCTGTTTCAGTTTCAATTTAATTTTCTTCGAGCTGGCAATAGCAACAACGCTTTGTTGAAGTAAAAGCTGCCTTTCTCAAACGTAAGTATTTTTTAGCGACTGGAAGACATCGAAATTTGTTTATCTTGGTTTGCTCTGTGGAGTTTGCTTTCTTTTTCAGTATCCTCTATTACTTTTCAAAGTTATCCGTTGTACGATTCCTAGGCTCAAGCATGCGTTGAGTCTCGCAGAACTTATACCATTATCGAACTCATCAAAACCCATGTGACTTACCACGGACTTTATTTACCATAATAACATTGTGAGTACATCATAGCTTTTGATGTCGGATCTGGCGAGCGTAACGAAAAATTTCATATTTGTCAACCTTTGATGAACCTCGAGATTTCCAGAATGTTGTCTTAGGGTGGTTGCGTTTCATACACTATGACAGGTCAATCCTTTACCTGCGAGAACTCTCGGACTTTTGGTCCAATTTCTTAAAGTAGACCTTCCTATGGTTATCTCTGAGTATCTTTGCTTTGGAGAGTTTACTAAAGTATACCAGCAACACGATTTTCCATAACTTTTTTTTCTCTACAATTTCAGTAAAATATCTGCTTGATAAAGCGTAGTAGGATAAAGAAAACTGCGGTCAGTAAACGGTAAAAGAGAAGTCTCATTTTCCTGAATCCAAGGGCTTGAAGTATGAATAGATTATTATCATCTTTTCTAAGTTCCCAATACTTGATAATCTTTATCTTTTAAACGTGATTTCGTTACTTTCTCAACTCTCAGATTGTGTTTAGATTCATTGAACCAAAAATATCCTCGCCACCTGAAGCCTCAAACAAGAATGACAACGTTTACATGGATAAAGATCTTTGCAGCACTGTTTCAACTGATTTCGTCGGCAGCAGGTAAAAAATAGTTAACCAACGTTGGCGATAACCACTTCGTATAATCCATTAATCATTTTTGCCCCTCGAAGCTCAGAGTTTTTCTCGAGCGTCGCTCTCGGGAAAATGTTCGCATCTCGAAAAATGTACGCGGACAAATATCCGTGCATATTTTCCCTCCAAATGGTCCGAATGCTGTTGTTATTATATCTGAAAAGCTTGAGCGTAACCCTGTTTCCTAGGGCCACCTTTCTTCCTTCCCCGAGAATGGACCCTGGTTGTGGCTAATCAGGTCTTCTCAGAATTCAGGAGATTGCAACAAAGAAAAATCGAGGGAGGGGCTCTCTTGAAGGAGGAAGATAGAGGACTTTGGTCCTCATTCCTTTCGCTTAACTCATTGAAAAATACAAATGACGGGTAATAATATTTTTCGATGCTGTAATTATGGTTCATTGTATAATGAAGACCTCAATTCAACCTGGGTGGTACTGAAAATTCAGCTAATCATTTGCTGGTGTGTACTAAAGTACATTTATCCATGTCAAATTTAAGCGCATTTGTTTGATTGTAAACGTTCAGGTTCGTGTTCTGACACTCCCGTTGGTGTTCGCGATGAACTGAAAGTGATACCTAACGATAGCATGACTGCAGGCTCGGCGCTCACTGATTTTCCAGCCGAAGATGGCCGCCTGGCTGGAACTGGTGCCTGGTGTCCTCAAACAAATGGTGATGACAGTCTTTTATATCTACAAATAAGCTTGGGTAAAAGCTACGTAATATGCGGCGTCGAAGTGCAAGGAAAGCCTAATGCCTTAGAGTCTACAAACTTTACGCTGCAGTCTTCAACAAACGGATCAGCCTTTACTGCCATTGACTCAGGGAAGGTAAATAATTGACCTTTAATTTTTATCAACTTGTTTCGCTGGCGGGTTCATTAAATAAATTTTATATAAACGATTTGAAAATATCTATACTTATTGTCGAAATTGGTTAGAATTTATTGCTTTAGACTCAGTCAATTTCCACCTTAAGGTGGAACTCAAAAAATTCTCAGTCTGCGAGTATGTTATTCCCACCGACCAGAGATCTTATAATTTGATCCTGAAACCATTTAATTATAAACGTGAAAAACATTTTTTTTAAGCACCGACGTTATAGCTAGGCTTGCATCACATTTTAATAGCCAGCATCACTGTTCAGGTTTTTAAACCAACTGAAAAGTACTATCAGACACCACAGCATAGCATTGTTATCGTTGTCTTTACACATTTTTTTTTTTCATCGTAGCTTTTGTTTTCATAATTTTTTTTTCTTTGAAGCTTTGCACTTTCCACATATCAAATTTCGAAGGGGGGGAATTTTTTTGGAATCTTTCGAAGTGGTAAAGGTCACTAGAAATTCGCTAAGAATTCCTAGTCAAAATGCAAGTTTGTTTTTCATAAACTTTTTTCTTTAGTGTTATCGTCCTGATTAATTACTTAAGGTCCCTTGCCGCTTTCATTACGATTTTTTCACTGCCTAGAGGCTGCAGTCGATACCTTTTGCCTTTGTCGTTCTTGTATTAACAGCTTACAGACTTGGATTCTTCTAGGTCCTTCTATTGGGTGTATATTTACGATAGATTTTTATTAATGAGCATTCGGCGCTAAAACAAGACATGTAAAATAGTTTCAATTTTTTTTAAAGACTGATTAGAGAAAAATAACTTGAATTTCCCGAAATGCTTTTTTTTAAAAATGAATTTTGAAATATGAATGTTTTCGGTACCTCTCCAGACCTTTCATGCCTCGTCAGCTGGTGGTGATGTCGCTACATTCCATAACCTGACAACAAACGTGACTGCGACACATCTGCGGTTTATACCAGTTTCCAACCTTACATGCCTAAGGGTGGAGATTTATGCTGTTCCAGGTATGTTTCACAACAATATAATATGGATGATCATGAAAGATTGTATTTGACATAGCTAGTGAGGGACGAAATGGTTCATTCCATTCCCTCCGCAAATGAAGATGAGCGTAACACGAGCGTAACTCTGAGAAGATTGTCAGGAGAAACGGTAGTGTGAATTTAAGTCCAACCTGATAGGGGAACCAGCATAGATTGGTGTTAAGTGACGGTTTTCGTAAAAGGAGGACTGGTAAAGAAGGTTTAGGAATTATCTTATTTCTCGCTACTCACTTAAAAAATAGCATGTTGTCGTGTCCGGGGTTTATATAACCCCGATATGCTGTTCAGTCAAGAACACGTGGATGCCATACTTACGGCTTCGATGTTTTTAGGTTTTGTGGCTTAGCTATTTGATCAAGTGACATAAAATAAAATCCAAGTTAACCCTTTAAGGTGAAATCGTGGATCATCAGTGAATCATAGCGGTCAAATCAGACAGAATCATAAATTTACGAGTTTAAAACCTTAAAACTTGGGATCATGAATGACGAGATATAACTCAAAATGAATTCTGAATATCGATAAAAAAAAATTGAAACAAGAACTGTTGGGTTATTAAAAGGGAAAGAATGGCGAATCTTGAAGATCAAATGATTTTGTGTCCCCTCCTCTCCCCCCCTTTTTTTAACTGGCTAGCAATGATGACGTTTGTTATAATCGTTTTATTGATTCCTTTTATCCCAGAGAATGTTACCGTCACTTGCCAAACGTCCAACATCTTGGTAGCAATTCAAAAATCATTATTTACTGATTCTGACGCTTCTTTCGCCGCGACTGACCTGGCTCTCAATGACAGAAAATGCAAAGCTACGAATGGTTCAACTACTTTCGACTTTGACATTACCCTTGGGACATGTAATACTGAGCTCACTATCTCAAAAGATGAAGAAAGATCATTTTACCACAACATGGTCTTTAATACCGCAGAAAACGAAACCGAGTTTAACATCATTTGCTCATACGTGCGAACGCCGACAACTGCTTCTAGTGAGTACACTTAACTGCCTTATAGTTTTTCTTTGGAGCTTATTGAGTAGGTTTTCTGTTTGTTTTGTTTTTCTACCATTTAACGATGACTATTCCCAAGTCTTACGGCTCAGTTTTCGAAACAGCCCTCAGATATCCATGAACATTGTCACGCCCAAATAGAGGCTTTTTACTGTATGTGTTTTGCCTATAATTTCTGAGCAAACTCATTGGAGACACTGCATTAAGTGGGTAGACTTCAAGGCATGAAAAACATTAACATGATAGGAATCTGACATCAAATCATGATCAAAACGTATCAGACAGAGAAGACCGGCTAAAGCTGTAAAAACTCTGGATTTGATAATCTCTTTGATTGGAAATTCCGCGCACTGGCCCAGAAAAGCTTGCGATGGGCTAAAAGACAAATAACCCCTCTCAAATCGCCGTAATATCGACAATAATCAACTCAGCTTTAAAATTGGCTCAACATTTTTAAGTTCAACACGAGTCTTCTCGACTAATCGTTTATTTTTCAGTCCATATGTCAGCCCAGCATTCCAATGTATTAAGCAAAGGTAGTATCTGTTGATTTTCAGTGTTATCTGGTTCGACCTTATGAACAAATGACCACGTTCTTTCTTCTGTAACCACCACAAAACGTTCTCTCATATTGAATTAAATTTTAAACGAAGACTTTTATCGTAATTGATCTAGGGTTTGAAAATTGGGGAATATGTTCGGATATTTCCGAGATTTAGCTGAGGCATATTTGGTCACGTGATGTGTTTAGACCAATCGCACGTGAGCAAAAAGTCTTGATGGATTATAACAAAGAATGGATTGATAGCAAGTTGCATAGCCAATCAGATTGCAGTACTTGTGATAGAAGGCTGATGGTACATTTATACTAATCCGTAATAGATAGCAAGTTATGTTACCAACTTACCATTTTGTTGCTTGTGTAAACAAAGCAAAAAAAGAAACATGAACTTGTCTCGTTTTAAATTTTGAACGAACAGAAGATCCATGCCAGCTGAAACAATTAGATTGATGGCTCTAGCACTCTAATTGGTGACGGTTATGACCACATTCAGAATTTGACCAGGCGAAATCCTGATACCATGACAAAATACGAGACGCAAATACCGATAGATTCATCTTTTTTTTTCTCTTTCATTTCTTCGATTTTTTCCAAAAGAAGGTCATTATGCCCAATGGTCTATTTAAGAGCCCGCGCGATAGATGCGGATACGCCGAGAATAAGGACATTGGTGTGACGCATAAGCTGCCTTATTGCCTTATCAAACATGACGTTTACATGCACTTCCCAGTTAAGTTCTCAAACGGGGCTCCTGATAAAAAATTGCGTGCGTAAATTTTGTCATAGTTTTGATAAAGTAATGAGAACAATAAACTTTTTCTGATTTATCTGTAATCTGAATATCTTGTTGTTTGACAGGCAGTGGTGCTCTGACGTTTACTATGAACATCTACAAGGATGAAAATCATCAAAACCTTGTTAAAAATGAGGTGATCGATTTGGGACAGAAATTATATTTCAAAATCGAAGTTCAAACCACAAGCAGTGACATTGAATTACATCTTACCCAGTGCAAGGCTACATCCACAGATAACGTAAACGATGCTAACAACTATACATTTATTCAAAGCGGGTAAGATTCCGAAGTTGCGTAGCACTTTCGTTGCTCTAGATCTCTCACTTCATTACTGGTACTTCTTCCTTTTAGCTAACAAACATCTCTTTGTAGGGTAGTCAAGAAAGTTCGATTGTTATCATAAGGTAAAATCATCACTCTGGAAGAGAATTTATATGTTCTTCACAGACATGTTGGAGTGAAACCGATAATCCGTTTCCTCGAAGAAAAATGCCTATTTGTTTTTCATCCATAACGCTCGTTATCTGAGCAGAACTGAGCAAAACTGAAATCATACTTCCTTTGGCTATTTTCTTGTCCGTAAACTTGTAAACAAGGAAGAAAAAATGAATACTAATCGAAGTTAAGTAATCGAAACTGAGGAAAACGACTTTTTGCAAATTTCATGATATCATTTTGTGCTTGTGCTAAGCTCTTGTGCCAATCGAAATTAGGTTGGTTTAGCAACTGCCATAGTCAGAGGATTCTAGCAGTGGCATGATAAAGTTTACCTGATCCCCCCATAAGGCTCTGTATTATTCAAAGACTTCCTTCATTGACAGTTAATTGTCAGTCAATTTTTTTTCATATTTCCCTTCTTTATACTCTGTTGGCGACGACTAATCCCCACTCCGTTCACCCAGAAAACCATAAGGTCCCCCGCCAAAAATCCTCCGACCTAGCCCCCCCCTCCTCATTTTATATATAGGGACTGGTCCCTAAACTAAACACGGCTTGATTATTCACACGTAGGTCAAGATTCAAGATGGAGATTTCTAGCTTATTTGAAGACAGTTTTTAAAGTTCGTGTAGTTGTACCTCAGATGTAGTAAGAACATATTTAACTAAGGTTTTTTTATGGTGTAGAAAAAAATCGAATGATTTTTGATCCGTACTTATTTAATTTCTTGAGCTTCGGATAGTTTGACGAAGCGACTCGTTTAAAATATGTTCGAACATAAACTACACCTATTTCTTTTTTCCAGTTGCCATGTTCAAAGCGATCAGTTTGTGACGGATTATAATTGCTCAGCAACTCCTAACAACTCTCAAACGTTTACCTTATCCGCGTTCCGCTTTGCTGGTAGAAGTGCTGGTGACCGGGTTTATTTCCACTGTAATGCATTGGCATGCTTAATAAGCAATACTGCATCCACTTGTGCTACGCAATGTGGTGCTTGCACAAGCAAACGGAAGAGAAGGAACTTGGAAGAGCAAGATCCAAATGAGGTGCACTTAGTTCTCGGACCATTTACTATCGTTGAAGAAGGCGATACCACCAAGCCTAATAAAGCCGATGAAAATGATGGAGTAGAAGGTTTGTAAACCTTTAGCTCAAACGAGGAATAAAGAAATAAGGATGTTTCTTTATTCGGCGATAGAGCTAAATTTAGAACTATGATAATGTAAGCCGAGTACATTTTCCCGTTCAGACCGACCAGACCCTTAATAATGAAAAAAAAAACATGTTGATAGACGTGACCCAAAATTAGCATGCTTGCTATTTTCCATATGCTCAAATTTCTAAAAAAGGGCAGGAATATTATGATTACAGGTAAAATCATTTCCAAGCCATTATGATCTACTTATGTTCAGTTAAAACCTCTCGGAATCCCTGTTTCTCTTTTAGCCGGTTTTCTATCTCACCGTATCCACTGCTGTTACACCTCGCCCGGAATTCTTTTAAGTGATACACAAACGGTTGGAGACTCGGTGTATCACTTTTCAACTTGTCTTAATCCTGCAATCCTTGGCAAATTTGCTATTTCACGTGATTCTTCTCATTTTCCTGCTGAGATTGAGATCATGACATGCAAACAGTCGTTCTTGTGCTATTTCCCATGTCATCACGCGCATCACGGCTCGTCCAAGACAGAAAACCTTAAGACGAGGCCACGTCAAATGTCTGTCTCTGAACTGGACTAACGGAGTAAACTTATTTATTATTTTTTCAGATTCAAACACAATCCAAAAAGACAGCGAAAACTTTCCCACGACCAAGGTGGTCATCGTGTGTGTGGGCGCCATTGTTGTCTTAGCAATAATAGTAGGCTTGGTGGTAATGATGAGGTTCTCTAAAAGTGCTCGTGGGCCCGCTGTGAAAAATGTCACCGCTGACCTATCTCAGGTTAATGCAGCCTTCGACGAT